AATTTACTACAGAGCAAGAAGAAACAAGAAGAATAGATAGAGTTAATTACGTTTAAGGTAGTAACTTAGTACAATACTGAACAATTAGCGACAAACTAATTTACTACAAAACTAAGTAGACACACTAAACTAAACCCAACCGACTAGCCACCACTACAGAAGAAATACCTCAACAAATACAAAATAATACGGAGTAGTTCAGTAATTTTACTAATTTACTAAATTAAGTTTCTACCACAAAGAAACCGTGGAAAACGAATTACACCACTTGCAGTGTATGTGCATTAGTTGAACCATATATGTGTGTGTGTGTATGCGTGCGTGTGTGTGTGTGTGTGTGTGTGTGTGTGTGTGTGTGTTACTCAAAGATTTTCTACTGCTTTATCAATTTCAAAAGAAAATATGATTCATGAGCAATTAAGTAGCAAGAAGCTCCTAAACAACAAATCAAAATAGTATCAGAAAAATAGTGTGTGTGTGTGTGTTACTCAAATATTTTCAACTGCTTTATCAATTTCAAAGGAAAATTTGATTCATGCTTCAGAAAAATAGTGTGTGTGTTACTCAAAGATTTTCAAGTGCTTTATCAATTTCAAAGGAAAATTTGATTCATGGGCAATTAAGTAGCAAGAAGCTCCTATACAACAAATCAAACTTGTATCCAAAAAATAATCATAACATGTACAAGCAAAGAAGGAACCTTGAGGCATCCATGTTTCTCTGAGAGAATCTCGCCGCTTCCTGCTACTAAATGCAGTATTAATACCAATCACAACAAAAGCCTTCTTTCGAAGTTGAGATGCTTCATGGGAAGATTTTGAAAGGGCAGGGGAACCTTCAACATTCATCTCCTGTGAACTCCGAGTAGCTGCTATCTCCATTTGAAGAGTAGAGATTGTCTTATCCAATGACCTGAAAACAAGGAGCAAATTATATTAACAATGGGGGTTTCATAGAAATGGCTAAAATATCCTTTATACAGAGTTGACTGGTTCTAGTGATCATATCCACCAAATAGTGATATTACCCAATGAACAAGCTCAGAGGTAGTGAAATGAATACAGTAAATAGCAAATACAAATGAGATAAACAAATGCACTCACTGTATAGCTTCGTGGGTCCTAAACACCTCCCCCATTATATCCTTGTCTTGGCCAAGCGTCTGCTACACAAAGAAAGAGAAATTTTAATTAAATAGAAACAATTGAATTGTCCCTGCAACAACCTTAGAATTTAAAAATTTTCAAATTTCTAATCCATAGATCAAGAAAAAAAAACAACTTTGCGAGATCAATCATCCTTATGAACAGATATTTCATCAATAAATGCTTGCTCAGTAAGAAACAACAAGATCAATATTCCCAACCCGTTTTGTTGTGCATTCCTCCGAGACAACCTGGAGCTCCTGATCCTGGCGTCTCCTCGATATAATATTCTTGTTCAATTCAGGAGCTGCCCACATCCTGAAAAGGAAACCAGAAAACATTCTCAACCCTAATTTTTCATCAATTCATTCTTCATTGCCATCCATCTTTTTGCATCATCTTGATAATAAGAAACCAGAAACATAAAGCGAAAACGAAATCCAAACCCAAATTTCAATACCAGAAGGTTCTGAATCATTCAAAAAAAAAACAAAAACAAATAGAACCAGTGAAGATGTAAATCTAGCTAATAAATCTTACCAAAAGGAAACCCTCACCCCCATTTTTGAAATTTCGAATCGAAACATTGACATTTGCATGTGAAAAGTAAATGAAAGACGGAGAACCTGTTGGTGAAGAGCATCCCAAAAGCGAAGCTGGATATGCAGAGGATGAGGATCCATTTAACCGAGACCTTCTCGCTGTGTCGACTTCTCATACTCACAGTCTCTCTCTCTCTCTCTCTCTCTCTTTCTCTCTCTCGCTGAGTTGAAGCAAGATTTAAAGACTGGTATTCTTATAATGCAAATTTGGAGAACGCAGGCTTCCCTCTCTCTCTCTAGCTTTCCCTTTCTCTCTGTTCACCGGTCTCGTTTAGGAGAAAGAGGGGAGGAAAATTGTCCGAGCGGAGCAAGTCTCTCCGGCACCGTACACACATGAGAGACGTATGGCACCAATGTTAGTAGAGAGAGAGAGAGGGAGAGTTTAGTAGAGAGAGAGAGTAGACAGGTCAAGCCCTTGGAAAATACTAAAAATTCCCGGAAATTTCTCTCTCTAACGTTTTCCGTAAAAGCCATTCCATCACGACACGCCATCCGCGTCTCGATCATATAAAATTCCTTTTCCAATTGGGTATTTTAGACATTCTCTCTCTAAAATCGATTTAATCGAGGTTCACTTTCTCTCTCTAAAATCTATTTTCAAAGCCCTAGATACGACACTCCCTCAGGGAAGCAAAATATATCAGATTTAGAAGGTGTGATGAAAAGGCTTGCACCTTCTAAACGTCGTATTTCCATCGGATTTAGGATTTTTTTTTGTT